GTAATACTCCATTGTGTAAATGTACCAAAGTTTCTTAATCCAGTCATCTACCGATGGGCATTTTGGTTGTTTCCAAGTCTTAGCTATTGTGAATAACACCGCAATGAACATAGGAGTACATATATTTTTTCAGATTAATGTGTTGGGATTTTTTGGATAAATACCTAAGAGTGGGATTGCTGGGTCATAAGGTAGTGCCATTTTCAGATTTTTGAGGTACCAAGCCAGTTCTTAACCAACATGCCACTCGGCCAGCCCACATTGAACATTTTCAAAAGTTTATTAGCCATTTTAATTTGTTTCTGTGAATTGTATGAATCCTTTGGTTTTTTTCTATGATAATCTTCGTACTTATTTTAAAAACCAACTTTCTCGAGTTATTTATAAATTCAGGAGAATAGCTGCCTGTTTGCTACAAATATTTTCCAAATTAATTTAAAAAAATTTTTTTGAAAATTTACAGAATTTTAATTTTTTTATATGGCCATGTATGTTGATCATTTCCTAATTATTTTTAAGCTTCAAATTTCATTCCCTCTCCAGAGGTTAGGTATTCAACTGTCCATTATTTTTGTTAAAGATTTTCAGAAATTTTACATTTTTAGAAATTTTGTTAAACATTTTTGTTAAACATTCTCAGAAATTTTATTAAACATTTCTTTATCCATCTGGAACTTATTTTGTTATATTTTTAGCCAATCTGTAGAAAATTCTAAGGATATTAATCTTTACCTATCAAAAATGTCAGATATTTTTTCCAGCTTTTTATTTGCCATTTAAATCTAGCTTATTTTGATTTTGACATGTAGACATTTTCTTTTTTAGTAGTTAAATTTACTAATCTTTACACTAGTGACACATCCCCTTCCCCCTATCCAGAGGCTTAATAAACACACACTTATATTTTCTTTTTTCTCTTGCTCTCCTTCCTTCTCTCTCCCTCTCTTTTCTCCTCCTTGTCTCAAGGCCAGCTTTAAGTAAAATGAGCCACTAAGCTAGCCCCAATCACTTGGGTCTCTTGGGGATCTTGTAGACCAAGAAAAACGTGGGGCTGGGATGGATTTCTCCACAACACAACCCCCTCCCTTTGCCTCCTACATAAAAAGCAGTTCAGTGTCAAGCTCCCCAATAAGTGCATGTACGTCTGACAATTCATAAACTGCTGAAGTGAAAGGTGGCCTTTAGATATTCTGTATATAAATTTAGCCAGTTATACAGAGAGAATGAAAAAAATATGGCCTGATTCTGATCAGATGCTGCTTGTTTCTCCTTACACCATGGGGTTCTGTTCTATGTCATTTCCTTTGAAGTCAGTGGGAGCTCTGTGCAGGACAGCAAGGCGAACACCGGCCTCTATACATGAAGGTGAGAACTGCCATTACGATAAACTATTCGGCAATGCGGTGGAGGGAACATTGGTTTAACACACTTGGTGGCTACCCTGCAGATCCCACTGTCTGTGAGAGCTTTGTTCAACCAGAGCAAACAAGAACTTTTTGAATCTTGACATACAAGGGCTCATTCAGCAGAGCATCCCGTTATGAGAGGAGGCACAGTGCTGGGCAGACATTGCAGTTTTTAGCCAGCCCACTGAGGGCATTTCTCTCACATTCTCCACATCTGTAAAGAGACTGTTTTCAAGACCCCAGAATGGTTTTCTATAGATCGGAGAGATGTATAAATATTTTTACATGTTTGTACTCCCATATAATGGGGGACACACTACAGTCATATCAAAGTAGCCAGGCCTTTTCAATATGGAAAGAAAGAATTCTTTGCAAATTTTAGCTGATACTTCGTGAAAAGCAGAGCTTGTCATAGAAACAATGAGACAAACTTTAACGTGGAGAAGGTATTGGGAATGAAAACTCATGGACATTTATTTGCTTTCTATCTCAGGAGTGTTATTTTGTTAATTAGCCCACAGAGACTTGCTTCCTCTCCCCACTTTCACAATGAGTTATGTACCATTTTTTTTGGGAATCCAAATCAAATGATGTTTTCAGATTGTGATACTACAATCATTGGAATGCAAAGAGGTCAGAGCAAATTATGCAAATTGATGGGTGCTTTTTTTCTCACCCATCCCATCCCCTGACTGAAATAATGATGCCCCCTTACTGATGCTTTCATCCATCCTATCATTCTGCTCCTGTCTCCAGACACTTGCTTAAGGTGTAGCATACACCCAGCTTCATGGACCCTGGTTTCCAAGGACCCCTCCAAAACAGGACACTGGGAATTTATATTTGTAATTTCTCCTATTGAATAGCATTGAAGTGGAACTGGCATTTTTTTTTTTTTTTTACTACTTACAATTTTGAATTGTTTTTCAGAAAAGTTGTATTCACCTTTGCATATAGAATGCCCTTTCTTTTCACAGGCCATCACCAGGTAGACAATATTTAAATCCTTGGAACTGGTGAGATCATCAAGAGAGGACATGTATTGGAGGAGAAATGAAAGGACTGAGATCTGGCGCACTCCAAATTTAAGAGACTGGGGAGAAGAGAAAATAGATTTGGAAGACCGTTCAACAATAATATACAGGGAGCAACATCATTCTTTGAAATAATAGTTATATTGCAATCTAGTAGTTATAGACTATTCTATCCTGTGTGAATATACCCTAGTTTATATAAGCAGCCCTCTACCAATAGCTTCTTTTTTTAAAATAAAAGATTTTATTGGGGAGTTAGGGGAGGGGAACAGTGTTGGGAAATTGGGGAAGGGGACCAGCCAAATTGTTGTTCTTCAATCTTCGTTGTGGAGGGCACCAGTCACCATCCGGCTTCCCATTGGCAGCTCGTGGCCTCTAAGCTCAAGGTGCTGTGTTCAGTCTTAGTTGTGGGTGGGCGTAGCCACCATCCCATGTGTGAGTCGAACCAGCAGACTTGTTGTTAAGAGTGCATGCTTTATCCACTGAGCCATCCAGGCAGCTGCTCAGCTCAAGGTGCCAAGTTCAGTCTTAGTTGCGGGTGGGCATAGCCCACCATCGAACAGGCAGTCTTGTTGTTATACCAGCTGAGCCATCCTGCCACCTGTTGGCAGCTTAGCGACAGCTCAGCTCGAGCGCAGCTCACAGACCCATGTGGGAATTGAACCCGCAGCCCCGTTGCTCAGAGCCCACACTCTTAAGCCAACTCTTAACCAACTGAGCCACTCGGATGGCCCGACCAATAGCTTCTTATAACTGATACTCTTATTCTTAATTTATTCTTACTCCAACCCACTCTACATACTGCTTAAGTTAAGCTTGGATTAATTTAGTTCTTTGTGCCTGGATGAAAAATAGAAAGTTGGGTAAGCACAATATATTACATTTATTGGATGAAATATAGTGCAATTATGATTTTTAATAAGAAAATACTTGCAAAATAATGTTGAGTGACTAAAGCATAATCCCAGTTTACACACAAACATGCACACACACACACACAGAAACAAATTTTGACCAGAAACAAATTTTGACCAGAATCTGGTCACAACAAATTGTGACCAGAAACAAATTCTATAAGTTTGTCCATCAAAAGTGTAGCATTTCTGGATGGCGGGTTTCCACGTGACTTTTATTTTATTTTCTGTGCTTTTCTGTGTTTTGCAAATTTCCTTCATAAAAAAAAGTTTTTCTAAAGGTGTACTTTATTTAGGTTGCTTCCGAGACAGGAAACAGGCTTTGATTCTTTGCTGCCTAAAAAGGTAATGTCCAAATATCTTAATTTGGTAGTCAAGACCCTTCAGATGCGAGGCCCAAACTCTTTGTTTCAGTTCAAAGAATCTGTTCGAGGTCTTCCTGAGCGCTCTGTACTTTCCTACTTCTATACTTTTTTGAAAGCTGGGATCCTTTTAATTTCCCTCTTTTTCCTATAATTTCTACAAATCCTTGAAGACATTATTTAAGTTCCACCTCTTACTTGATCCTAAGACCATGAGTAATGGAAGAGGTCTCCAAAGATTAGTGACTCCTTTAATCATTCAGTATTTACCACAGGATGCTTTGTATTATTATGGTTCCTTTTCTGTCTCCCCAATTGGCATTTCGATTCTTAGAGGACAGGTTCTGTGACTAAGAGTCACACTCTGTGGAGATTAAAAAGATGATTGTATTATAATGCTGGGCACTGGTACAGAGCTCTACATGTGTGTTATTGGTATTCCTCGACCCCGTGTCTTGTTCACAGTAAGTGTGTAATAAACATTTGCAGTAGTTTAGACCCAGGGTTATATATATATATATATATATATATATATATATGGGGTAACTCTGGATCTTTCTCTGTACATATATGCTTGTATANTATATATATATATATATATATATATATATATATATATATAGAGAGAGAGAGAGAGAGAGAGAGAGAGAGAGAGAGAGAGAGAGAGAGAGAGAATAAACCAAATAAGCAAATAAATAAAAACAATTGCAACTTGTATTAGGAAGGATATAAACAGCTGGCTGTGATAAGGAATAATAGGGGGTCCTACTTGTATAGGATGGCCAAGAAATTCTGCTTTGAGGAATTGACATTTAAGCTAAGAACTAAAGAATAGGAAGGAGCCAATCATGTGAAAATCTGAAAGCAGAGCACATACAAAATTCCTGACACAGGTTCTAGGATCTTTGACTGCAGCGTTGTAACTGGTGGGATAAGGTGTGTGGTATGACGTTGGAGGTGGCGTTGGTATGACTGAGGCAGGTGACCAGATCTTGCAGAGTCCTTTGGGCCATAAGCAGGCACTTGAATTTGTTCTAACAGGCTGGAAAATCATAGAAAGGTTTTAAGGAGGAGAATGGCATTCACCGATTACATTTTAAGACTTCACTTTGGCTGTGTTGATAATGGAATGTAAGCCAGTTACCATAGAAGTAAAGGGACCAGTTAGGAAGCAATTCAGTCATCCAGGAGAGGGAGAAAGATGGCTTAAACTAGCATAGTCACAAGTGGAGATGGAGACAAGTGAATGAATTCAAGATGTATTTTGGAGGTTGGACAATTTGGACTCGCTGACTATGAAGGATAAGGGAAAAGGAGACTAGGATGACTCCAAGGCTTCTGACTTCAGCGACTAAGTGAAAAGTGTTACTATTGATAAAGATAGGGAGAATGTAGAGGGATGGCTTGTGGGGGACAGGGAACTCAAGCATTCTATTTTGACTAAGTTAAGTTTGAGACATTTGTGAGACAACAAAGTAAAGATGTCAGATCAGTAGGTTGAACATATTAATCTGGAGCTCAGATAAAAGGTATAGTCTTCACATATAAATGTACGTGTCATCAGCATGAAACCTTAGGAATGAATGAGCTCCCCAAAAAACGAAGTCTATGTGGAGAAGCGAAGGCAGTGTTTACAAACCAAGATCTTGGCACTAGATTGGTTACTAGGGATGTCCCTTCTCCCAGACCTTCTCACTGGACTGAGCTAAAAATATACTCGTATGTGTGCTTATACATATACACACATATATGTATTTATGCACATACATTTGTATACATATATATACACATTTACATCTATATCTATCTACCTATATTGAAAACCATGTGTTAACACTGATGTGTGCCATTCCAATCCATCACCACAGAGCTCATTTTAGCCTTCCATCTACATTTATACCTCTTTTCTCTCACAGTGAAAAACTGACGGTCATTCTCCTCAACCTTTAGGTTGCCACCTTGCTAGAACACCCTCTGTGTACAGTCTCCTGCCCTCGTGAGGCTCTGCAGGTCAGGAAGGAAGGAAAGCTATTTTCTTTATTTAGGGTCTGCATGTGTTTTACTACGTATATCTTTGGTATTGTATTTGTTTTGTTGCTGTTTTGAAAAGGTGTTTTTTAAATAAATTACATTTTCTGTTTATTGTTTATATTTGAAAAGGCTACAATACATAGTTTCATTTATCATATTTGCCAATATGAAAAAATTGTTTTTATTTCATTGCTTTTATTGGTTATTAGTAACATTGAACATTTTCTTTTTTTTTATTTAAGATTTTATTGGGGAATTGGGGAGGGGAACAGTGCTGGGGAATCTAGGGAAGGGGAACAGACAAGTTGCTGTTGCTTTGTTCTTCAGTCTAGTTGTGGAGGACGTTGCTTCACAGGCCCAAGCTGGCACCATCATTGTGCTCTTCCCCGGAGAGGCAGATCAGTTGCCGGCTTCTGGACGGCCGCTCACTGCGGCTGCTGGCCACTCATGCTGGCTGCTGGCTACACATGGTAGCTTATGGCAACCCACTGCAGCAGGGGACTACAGCCTAAACCATCAGAGGCGACCCAGGGCAGCCCAGCCCCAGGTCGAGCTGCCATTCACCATCTTAGCTGCAGAGGGCAGTGTCACTGGCCCTCATATGTGGGATCCTAACCAGGGCCCTCTGGCATCCCAAGCCAGTTCTTTTTTTTTTTTTTTTTCAAAATTGTTTTGCTGTAATAGAATTTATTTATTTTTATTTTTATTGATAGTTTCAGTTGTACAGAACAATGCAATAGTTACCCTTTTCACCCTCACAAAGTAACCCCCCTCCCCCCATGTATTGCCCTCCCACCCCTGATATCATGCTTATCTATTACAATTTCATTGATTCCATTCCCACTCTCTACTCCATGTCCCGAGACTATATGTATATATAATTATAGTTGACATCAGCTTCAGAAATACAGTGCAGTGGTCAGGCCTCTACACCGACTATGAAGTGGTCTCCCCAACAGGACATGAGTCCATCTGGCCCACTAAGAAATATTTACAACATTATCGATTATATTCCTTAGACTGTCTTTTTCTATCCCTGAGGTCATATTGCAATTACCAATTTGTATTGTCTCATCCCTTCCCCTTCTCCTTCATCCCTACCCCCTCCCAGCTAACAACCCTCAGTTCTTCCTCTGTCTCTGAGACTATCTCCATCCACTTCTCCCATCCATTCAGTTCCTTAGACTCCACATATAAGTGAGATCATATGATATTTGTCTTTCTCTGACTGACTTATTTCACTTAGCATAATGTTCTCTAGTTCCATCCATATTGTTG